CCTGTCTTCTCAAAAAAGGAAGTGTAGCCAGTTGCTCTGGCATGCCTGCCTATTTCCAATCTTATTTTCAAGATTTTCTTTAATCACACTATTTGTAGAAAGGAGGATGAGCAGAGACCTTGGTTTTCTCTCCCTCCCTCCCCCCACCCCCATCTATCTCTCTGCTCTCTCTCCCCTCTCCTCTTTCTCTCTTACCTTCCTTTCCCTCCTTCCTCTTCTCTCTGTCTCTCTGTCCCTCTCTCTCTCTCTCTCTCTCTCACACACATACACACACACACACACATCCCACAAGGTGAAGTTTCTTATAAGAAAAATGAAGTGTCAGACCTGAGAATCTCATTGAAACCTTCCTCTCAGCCTGTCAATGTGGCTGACCCAGAAATACCAATCCCATGGCATGACAAAGAGAGCCCCCGGGAATCAGGGACCCAGATTCCAGCAGCCAATAGGACCCCCCACTCATCCCCCCAATGTGCCCACACCTCCCCCCGGTCCAAATTGAGGGGGTAGGGCTCTCCTTCTTCTGCTCAAACCAGCCCTTCTGGGCCAAGGGGCTTGTGAGGAGTAGGGCATAATTCAAGCCCTGGCTGGATCTGAGTAACTTAAGAAATCGCTCATTAGCATTTAAATGTGCCTTCTAGACCCAGCTGCCCTGCCTCATTCACTTAAATATAAAAGCTCAGCCAATCAGTAAGCAAGTATTAAATGCCTACTGTGTGCAGGCACTTTGGAGGCTCTAGGGACAGAGACAGTTGCACTGTGCTGGGGGGAGGATGGAAGGACACCTGTTAAGGAGCGGGTGTAGCCATTGGTCACCCCTGCCTGGCCTTTGTTTGGGGGGTGGGGTGTCGACAAGGCCTTGCTAGTGGGCACAGGCTGGGGCTGGTGGGCTCAGTGAAAGCCTGTAGCTGTTTCCCAGGACCATGCACTCTAGGGGTGGAGGAGGAGTGGGTGAACCAGACAGCATCTGCATTGGTCCCTGGGGAGGGGGAGGGTGGGGACAGCCTTGAAATCTGGAAAATCACATTTAAAAACTCTAACAAGTTGTGAATGGAAATGTAAACATCAGCAAAACTCCCCACCACACTTTGAACCTGCTTCCTCTGCGTCCGAGAATTTGAGCATGGAACACATTCCTCAGCAGCTTCTCAGGCACCCCCTTAGGCTCCCATGGGATTGTTCATTAGGTCTTTGAGGTCACCTTCACCCTCTGGGATCCCCCTGGTTTGGGCATGTCCACTGGCCAGTGGGCTCTGCTTTCTTTACCTCATCCACTTCTTTATCTTATGTATCCACTGCTCTGTGGATGTGCCCCCATTTCTTCCATGATCCCAAGCCACCAGACATCCCCCATTGCTTTTTCTGTAAGGAATGTTCCTGCCACCAACATCCTTAGGATTCTGCTCCCCAGGTGCATTCCTGGAAGGATGATTCGTGCAGAGAGGCCACCATTCTAGGGGTGGGGTGGGGCTTCTTTCCCTAGGCTCTTTCTGGCAGAAGCCAGACATCCCCTTGGCAGGGATCTCGTCAGGGGCCTGCATCCTTTGCAGATGAGACTGGATGGGGCGGCCATTGATGGTCCTTCCAGCCCACAGAGTCTGTGCATCTCAGAGTGGGTCTTGCCCCAGAGTGGGTTTTTATCAGCTCCTTGTGAGTTGCTAGGGATTAAATATGCATCTGTTATTTGTAAGCCATAAACATATTCCAGGTTTGGCCTATTTCTCTTTATCTTGAGTATATATTCTTTCCCTCTAAAGAAAGTATTCATTTTTATGTAATCAAAAAACCAATAATTTCTATTTTTGAAATGAAAATGTCACCCCTTCCATTGAAAGTATGTTCCTATTTCCTGTTTTTTTAAATGTCTTCAGTGTCTGGCTGAGACTTGTGTAATATAGGAGTTGATGACTTATTCCCAGTGAACCCATGCTGGCTTGCTGTGGTCAGTGCTCACCTTTCTAAGTGCTCACACACTCCCCATCCATGATTCCCTTCTACGATTTTGGCATCATTTTAAATAGTCACCTTGGGTGGGTGGGAGAGGGTGATCTTAGCAGCCCCTGCCTCTGAGCAACCTCTGGGCTAAAGAAGGTGTTAAGCCACTCCCAAATGAAAGGGCCAAGAAGTAGGCGTCCCACTGTGTCTTCAGGTCCCACTTGGGAGCCGTGATTGCCAGCATCATTTGATATGACCCGACATCAACGGAACAGAGATGTTGGGGGTTTCTTGTGGCAGTCTGAGCACTTTTGGCTGCCCTTGCTGGGACCTGCAGGGGTCTAGAGAAGGTGCCCTGGGCCCCCACCAGTGGATCATGTCTCTGAGTGGGGTCCCCAGTGGGGGGATGGCCCAGGCCAGGTTACTCTCCCCTTCTCCCCCTTTGGTGAGATGTGAGACTATGAGGTGAGGGGCATCTTGGGCACGCCCCAGCTTTGGGCTGAAGGTAGTAAAATTTTGACGGTGTTGGGAAATTTGACCCTGGGGGGGACACAGCAGAGCAGGCAGAATGTTTGGAGGACAGCCGGCCCCCAGGCCCTGAGAATAGATGTGGGCCACCCATTGTACGTATCATGTTGTAGGAAAAAAAGAACCCGGCCCAGGGGCCATTGGGTCGGGTGCATGTGTGGTGGACCCTGCCAGAGGTGATAGGTGTGGGGAGGTTGGACACCCAAGGTGGCTGCCTGGTTCTGCAGGCCATGCTCTGGTCAGATCCAGGGGGTCCGAGGAGGAGGCAGAGGCTCAAAAAGCACTGGGCTCCCCCTGGCCTGGAGAAGGTAGAGTACAAGGGTCATCACTGTGCGGGAGCTGATGCAGCTAAGAAGTGCGGGAGGTGGCATCCGAACGCAGGCCTCCCGACCCTGCTGACAGCACATTTCTGGGCTGCCCTCTACCCACGGTTCAGCAAGCGTGCCTTTATTTTTAGATTTTATTATTTATCTTTATTTTTAGATTTTATTGTTGCCAAGAAGGGAAAGAAAAGCAGCTGACTTAGCTACTCTGGTCTCTCATCTCTGCAAAGAGAGGGGTGTGTGGCTTTACCACCTGTTGTCTGGGACCAGAACTGGTCATTATAAGACAGCAATTCAGTTGGCTTTGAGATCTGTTAGTCAGTCAACAAGCCTTTAGGATGGGCAGCTAGGTGGCGCAGTGGATAGAGCACCGGCCCTGGATTCAGGACAACCTGAGTTCAAATCCGGCCTCAGACACATAACACTTACTAGCTGTGTGACCTTGGGCAGGTCACTTAAGCCCATATACCCAGCCCTCCCCCCCAAAAACAAAAACAAAAACAAAAACAAGCCTTTAGGAGCCCCCTACAGTGAAGTGCTAGGGATACAAAGAGAGGTCAGAGATGGTCACTGCCCTGGGGGAGCTGCCACGCTAATTTGTGTTTTTGTGGCCATTTATGTCTATTCCCTCCATTTTCAGAGATATTTGGTGCTTAGATTTTTTTCCAGGAAAGTTTCTGTGTACTCTAGCTGCCCTCGTGTGGTCTGGGTGAAGTCTTTGGAATTTTACGCCATTAGTGACTTGTCTTTTCTTTTCTGACAACCTCTGTCCCTTCTTTGCTTAAGAATCGTCTCCCACGAGAGCTTTGGGAAAGGTCTGTCCTTCCCCTCCCCCTCCCTCCTCCCCCTCCTCCTCTTCTCCTTCCCTCCTCCCCCTCCCCCTCTTCCTCTTCCCCCTTCCCCATCTCCCCCTCCCCCTCCCTCCTCCCCTCCTCCTTTTCTCCTTTCCTCCTTCTCATCCCCCTCCCTCCTCCCCTCCCCCTCTTCCTCTTCCCCCTTCCC